GCTGTAACAGTCTCACGTAAACGTAACACACACCACAGATGTAACAGTCTCACGTAAAAGTAACACACACCACAGATGTAACAGTCTCACGTAAACGAAACACACACCACAGATGTAACAGTCTCACGTAAAAGTAACACACACCACAGATGTAACAGTCTCACGTAAACGTAACACACACCACAGATGTAACAGTCTCACGTAAAAGTAACACACACCACAGATGTAACAGTCTCACGTAAAAGTAACACACACCACAGATGTAACAGTCTCACGTAAACGTAACACACACCACAGATGTAACAGTCTCACGTAAAAGTAACACACACCACAGATGTAACAGTCTCACGTAAACGTAACACACACCACAGATGTAACAGTCTCACGTAAACGAAACACACACCACAGATGTAACAGTCTCACGTAAAAGTAACACACACCACAGATGTAACAGTCTCACGTAAAAGTAACACACACCACAGATGTAACAGTCTCACGTAAACGTAACACACACCACAGATGGTCACACAAAAACAACCGTTATCCTACATAAGAAAAAAGTGGTGATAAATAACGACGACCATAACAACGTGTGAGATGACAATGATTTATAGATTAAAAGAGAAAAAAAACTATGATAAAATCAACAATAAAGATAAAAATGACAACGATAAAGATAGTTATGGCATTCTGAATCATTCGAATAATTACAGTTACAGTAATAATCATACAGATAAATGTTATCTAGGTAGGCTATATTTGACTAATTAACAGAAAAATTAATCACATTTTTCAAGTGAACACCCACGCTCTATCGCACCCTCAGTGTACTTTACAACCTGCACTATTACCCAAGCAGACGTTGGAACACTCAGAAACATTCTCGGCTTCCCGGGAAGCACACAGAGCAAGCTGTGGGTTACAGACGCTCCAGCACTAACATACTGACAAGATCTGCTGCTGTCAACAGCCAGATACCTATTCCCACTAGGGTGAAGAGAGGAAAGTTTGTGTGAAACGCTTTTCCTAAATACACAATGTTGAATGTTGGGTCCCAGATAGGATAAAAAACAATGACCTTTTGGTTGCCAATCCAGCGGTCTAACCTCGAGACCACTGACGTAAAAAAAAAAATACCAGCGGAAATCTCTCATGGGACTTCTCACAAGCCAATAACACTTTCAAAATACATCATGTAGGTCATGAAGGGGTTAATATGGAATTTTGACCCGCAGGGTTTTCAAATATATCTAGTTCATCAAGTGACAGTGTTGGCAGTGATTTCAAATATATCTAGTTCATCAAGTGACAGTGTTGGCAGTGATTTCAAATATATCTAGTTCATCAAGTGAGAGTGTTGGCAGTGATTTCAAATATATCTAGTTCATCAAGTGATAGTGTTGGCAGTGATTTCAAACATATCTAGTTCATCAAGTGATAGTGTTGGCAGTGATTTCAAACATATCTAGTTCATCAAGTGACAGTGTTGGCAGTGATTTCAAACATATCTAGTTCATCTTACAGTTCTATAATCTTTTTCCAGAAGTTTCCCGTAACCCAACTGGTTCACTCACAAATTGCTCAGCTCAGCACAGCAGGGAAGTACACAGATTTTCACTCAGCACTGAATGAGATACAAAATGATTTGTGACTTCTGCTAAGGCCACTGAGACCAGTTCTGGCCTGCATGGGCCTCAACTCAGAATCTTAAAATAGGAGGAACTTTCTGCGTGACCACGGCAGAAGACCATTATTCCGAGACACCCATAAATATTCCATGTATACTGTTTAACCCAAGAATGCTGAAATAAAAACCATCAATCAGTTTATCGAAACAAGGTCATTTCATACCAATTTGAGGGTTTGGAAGATAATTTCAGGTAAAAGAGTCACTTACCAAATATTATTTACAATCTTGATTACATACACAAAGTGATGATTTAGCGGAGGAAATGGCAGTAGCGGAGATCCACTAACAAGCAGACTATTGAGAACCATGGGTCTGACAGAGTAAAAAAACAAAATAGAGGAGAAAGTTCCTACCTGGTGCAAACTCGTGGAACTGTATGCTGAAGGTGCATTTGGACGGGTCAGGCTGGGGGTCGTCCACACTGACCACGTCTACGTTGGGCGAGGCCGCGTTGAGCGAGCTGTTCCCGCTACGATCGGGGGACAAGGTCCGGTCGTTGACGGGGCTTGGGTTTGGCAGGTTGGCCCTGAAGCCTGAGCCGAACCCTCGAGGGGGGAGAGCAAAGCCGCTGTTGCGGAGAACCTCGTCTTTCTTTCTGGGGCTTGGAGCCAGTCTGGGGAGAAACAGATGGTTGATACAGTCATGACCTCAGTCTAGAGAGGAACAAAAGGTTGATACAGTCATGGCCTCAGTCTAGAGAGGAACAAAAGGTTGATACAGTCATGGCCTCAGTCTAGAGTAGAGAGGAACAAAAGGTTTACTGTCATATATCTATCCTAGAGAAGAGTCACGGAAATTGATGTGGTATAGAAAAGTGAGAAGACATCAAGCGTCTAGCCCGGGATAGGGAAAGCCGGAAAGTATTTGTTCGTGACCTATATTCTGATCCAGGGGGAGAAAGGCAATGATGATGATGATGATTTTAAAGGAAAATAATGTATTTATAAAATAACAATTCCGTTTTCTCAATTATCCCAAAAGTGTAAAAAACGAGTACGGCCATATTGGCAGCTGAATGACGATATGTACACTTTGGGTGTCCCCTCAGAAACACCGCACTAAGCATTATAAGTGACGCAAGTATTGCAAA